ATGATTTATAAGCTTGTGTACCTCAATTTAGGTCCCCACAGTGACACGAGTCCGGCGAACTCCGGCGAACAATGAACCTTTGGTCTAATAAAACATCGGTACCTAGTCAATCGTTCTCTGAGTTTTGTTTTCATGATAATCGAATGTAAAGAGTTTTATCTCTAAAAACTGTTTAGCGTATAATGCTAGTAATGGGGGCATTGACTAAGTAAAAAGAAATCGCTAGTTTATACCACTAACAAGGCTCAAAATAGCCCCACACTAACGCAGTAACATAATGAGGCTCCATACATGCAAAACGAAGCATTGAGAACTTTGTAAGTGTACAGACCGTTTAATAAGAAGATACTTTATGAAGACAGTTCACTTCATGTATACACAGCAGGAGCCATCTTAAAAAATAGTCTCGATAAGTCGATCCCCGAACGGCATCAGAAGTTCACTGAACTTCATACAGCTCAGATCACTCAGCACGACGTTCGTGGTTTGACTTATCGAGACTATTTTCTAAGATGGCTCCTGCTGTGTATACATGAAGTGAACTGTCTTCATAAAGTATCTTCTTATTAAACGGTCTGTACACTTACAAAGTTCTCAATGCTTCGTTTTGCATGTATGGAGCCTCATTATGTTACTGTGTTAGTGTGGGGCTATTTTGAGTCTTGTTAGTGGTATAAACTAGCGATTTCTTTTTACTTAGTCAATGCCCCCATTACTAGCATTATACGCTAAACAGTTTTTAGAGATAAAACTCTTTACATTCGATTATCATGAAAACAAATCTCAGAGAACGGTTGGCTATGTACCGATGTTTTATTAGACCAAAGTTCCGGAGTTCTCCTTTAAAGTCCATTTCGGGATAGAAAAACATATTTATATATATATATATATATACAGACACACACACACAATTCACTAGTAGAAGCTGACTCATTGGTTCACACTGACTTAATCTACACACCAAATAATCTCTCTCATCCAACAATGAACATGTCCTTTAGGGCAGCCGTTTCTGAATCCTGATGGAACTCCAGCCGTTTACAACCCACCAGTAAATCACCAGCTTAACCCAGTACAGTCACAAGCCCCGCCCCCTCCACCTCAGCAGCAGCCAATAGCAAGCCATGGTGTCCCTCAGGTGAGTGAAAGACTCGTGGTGCACAATATATATCGGTAGTCTGATTTTGTTTTATAAATCTGTATTGGTATTGTAATTTTTCATGCTCATTTGACCTGTTTTTACATTCATCTAAAGTTCATCTTTAAAAACAGTAATAGTTTTATAAAACAAGTTAAAATGTAATGTTTAGCAAATCTCAAAATGAACGTCAATTTCTCATGCTGTACATTATTAAGTTCTGGGACTGTATTACAGAAACATCCTATCTTGTACTGCATGTTTAGTGACCAAAGGAATTTTTTTAAATCTTAAATATTGAATTAAGATGGGAAGTTTCTATAATACAGTCCCAGAGAAAATGTTCCTTATATAAAATCAACAAAATCCACAACCTGTCCTCTCATTTCTGGTTTAGGTACAGTACTCCTCTGTGACATACCTTCCACCTCAGCAGTTAAACGTTTCTACCTCTCAGCAACACCCAATAGAACAGACTGTAAGTGATATACATGTACTATGATACACACTATATATATATATATATAAGAGAACATGACAAACTTATTGTTTGCTTCCTAGAGGGAAGACATTAGCTCTAAGTTTGGTCACATGACCTTGAGTCACCAGTCATCAGGAGATCTTCCAGATATGTCGTCATTCTATGTGCAAGGAGCTCCGCCCACACACAGCTATGCTCCACCCCCCACACGCAGCTATGCTCCGCCTCAGCATTCAGACAGTTACATGAGTCCTGGAATGACATTGGCTCCTCCCACAGCCCCGCCCCCTCAGACTCAGCCAAGCAACCAGGTACTTCTTCATCAATGAGTCATGAGATACGGTGTAATGTCATACTGTATATCTAATTATGAGTCAATTCTGGTGTGCCCTCTCAGGTTTCAGTGTACAGTTACCCTGTTCAGTGCCCCAGTGCAGCTCAACAGTACGCAGCGGGCAGTTACAGCACACAAACAGGTACACATGAAGATCCGTGTGTCCCTCACGCTGAGTCTCAGTAGTAGGAGAGGGGGCCGCTACACTGTAAGAGATGGTGTCACTGGTCTCACAGTGAACCGGTCTCTTTTCTTGCTATTCATATCAGCTCTCATATGAGATATCAGACGTTCAAGTCTCTGTGCTACGCATACATGCATAAAAATACATTTATAAATAAATAAACAAAGAAAAAACCTCTATTGAATTTACTCTGTGTTGGCTGTCATGTTGAGTCCGCCATCACTATACAATTAATAAAATCTCACATATTTGTCAACATTTCTTTCAACAGGATACACGCCTGTGATCTCTCACCAACAAGGTTGCCCAGGCATGATGGGAAATCAGATTCTACCCCAAACACAGCAAAGCATTATGGGACATTACCCATCCGTGTCCTCCTATCAGGTACTGATGCAAATAAACAAACTACAGACAATTTAGTTTGGAAACTCTGTCCATGCACATTTTATTGATGGGTTAATATATCAAATTGAAATCATTTGCTCTAAAATAAAATCAAGTTGTCATATTTAAATCTATATTAATGTGAAATGTTATAATAATCATTAATTGCACATACACACACACCCCACACACATTACACGTGTGTGAATGAACTGTGTGTGTGTGTGTGTGTGTGTATATATATATATATATATACATGATTTTTTAAATGCATTTTTTATTTTAAGGATTATTATTTTCAATATTATTGTATGTAAATATTTCTAATAATATATACATTTTATATTAAAAATATTTATATATTAAAAGAAATAATAAAATTAATAAATATTAATAAAATATAACATTAAAAAAGATAGATAGATAGATAGATAGATAGATAGATAGATAGATAGATATAATTAATATTAAATATAAATATGCATATCAAATAATATAAAAATAAATAATTATAAATATGAATATATTTAGCCAGGCTAACGCCAGACCACGTATCATTGAGGATGAAACGTGGTCTGGAAACCACACGTTCAATTTCTCGTATTTTAGGCATGGTTTACGAATACCCAGAGCCGTGTTATTGGGTGCTACGAATGTTTATCAAATGCACCTGTGCTCCCTCCCCATTCTGTGATTGGTTCCTGAAAAATTTGGTTCATGGTATCCAGACTGCCTAGCAGCTCGAATAAAGTCGTGCTGCGGCAAGGCAGAATGGGGAAACCCAGGCTAGAATATATTAATAAAACAATATTAAATTAAATATTAAATAACAATTATAATAATTACAAATTTAAAAAATATATCTATATATATAATTATTATATATAATAATTAATATAATATATAATTATTATTTTAATATTTTTATTAATATTTACTACTAATAAAATATATAATAAACTTTTACTACTAATAAAGTATTACTAATATTTACGATTAATTCATTTGTGTGTGTGTGTGTGTGTGTGTGTGTGTGTGTGTGTGTGTGTGTGTATATATATATATATATATATATATATATATATATATATATAAATACACACACATACATTTGTGTGTGTGTGTGTGTGTGTGTGTAAGTGGGTATGTATGTATAATATATACATGCATACAAATGTATTAATATATTATTTAAAATAATAATATTTCTACATGTGTGCCTATGTGTTTTGTCTCTCCTAACAAGGTCCCGCAGCAGCAGCAGTCGTATCCCTCTGCAGTGCTGGTGTCAGGACAGGCCGGGCAGAGCCAGTGTTTGGCTCCTCCTGCTGGACTGCAGGTGTACTGCAACTCCTCTCCCCCTCCACCGCTCAGTGTGATGGGGCTCTCCTTCCAGTCCAGTAGCTGCAAAAATGGCTGTAACGTTAATCAGAACCAATGCTGGTACTAAAGGACACTGTGTACCCACACATAGTGTTATAAACTCATGCATATTCAGTGTTTGTAGCTACACATGATGTCGTGTACAGCCTGTAGCACTCGAGTCTGATCGCATCTTCAGATTCAGTCTTTTCTACTTTGTCAGAAATTTGTTTTGAATTTTACTTTACATGGAGACCGATAACGTCATGTTTCAATTGCTGTTAGAGCATAATTTATACTAAATATACTATTTATATTATGTTTTTGTTGAATATCCATAAAATGTTACATTTGAATAGTATATGATACTATATTTATCTTGTTTATAGAGGGCTATATTACATGAGTGAGGAATGAAACTAGATTCTACAAAAGTTTATCAGTGTAGAACCTTTTAAAATAATGTTTTGTTGTTTGTTTGTTTGTGTCGGAATTTTATTAGGATGCAACATTTGACCGGATTGGTCAATATCTAAGTGTCATTTCTTAAATATATGGCCTTTTAATTGGTAAACTGTTGGCTTCTTGTCTTTACTCACATTCATATCAGTCAGTCGGTGTTCTCATAGACGATTTGAGGGTTGTTCAAACATTTCACTTTGACGTTGTCCTTCAGAAATTCAGACAAATGTTTAAAAATACCTAAATTTAATTTAGCTTTGATTAAATCGGTTTGATAATGATTAAAAATATAGATTTGATTAAAAAAATGCCATAAAACGCCCTCTGGTGGCTTTAAGAGAGAATTACAATAACAAAGCATTTCATTGTTTCAGATTAGGATCAATTCAGATTTGTGTTTTCTATCAGCTGTTTAGAATCAGAGCTAAAAGGCTGAAATAGTTAAAAATTCAGCTTGATTTCTTCGGACTGCTAAATTTTGTGCTCCTTTAGATAAAAGTTGTACAAGTGGAACAACATTTTTTTTAAGCACGTGGTCTGTTACCCACATGACAAGTACTAGTTTCAAACATGCATTTATCAGAGAATAACAAGGTTTCCAGAGTAATTTAAGAATTTATCAACTCAAGTACACAAAAAAAGAATTCAGTGCCACAAGTTTAAATGAGCTTTAATAGAAAGGCACATATACAGCCAGAGTGTGAGAATTAAAAGCCTTTAAATGCAGAAACAGTTTTAAACTAAACTCCCCTAATCAGAAGTGACAGTCTCTGCTAGATCAGCTCAACTGCTCGCTCTGTCGTTCATGAGTTCATGTCAAAACTAAGTCACAGCTGCGTTCATCTGAACTGAAATCTGATTACCCCACTGGCTCTTTTGTACCCCCAGCTTAGTGTGTGTGAGAAAGAAATGAAGGTATGAAAGAAGGTCGTTTGCGTCTGTTTATGTGTGTGTATATGGAAAAGGGTGGAAGAAGGTCTGTTACACTGCCTCACAATCAAATCTTTCCAGTTTAGCTGTGTTGAGTGAGTGTGAAAAGTCTGTTACCTTTAATGCAGGTTAAATAAAAGCAATAAATATAAATATCATGACATGTCAGGAGAAATGTACCTGTGTTCACAAAATGGGGGGGTTAAAAGAGTGCGGGAAAAATTCAAAGTAGGAAAAAAGGGCAAGATTCACAGGTTCTTAAATAAATGTGTTAAAAAGCTCAAACTTAAGTTAGATTACAAGGCTACGATGCTACGCAACTAAAGGTGTGCGTTCCAGAGGGCACACAGAGAAACTAAAAAACATGCAAATCGCATCTTTCGGGTTGTGGGATCGGCAGCCATTTTGTTCAGCCTGACTATACAGCTGCGCTTTGATGAAAATGGCCACCTTCACATACAAAAATACACTTAAAGCAGTTGCAGCCCCTGCGTCTGTGTGGGTAAACCTCAAGAGGAAGGTGTGAAAACACACAAACGCAGAGTTGAACGCTGCCTGAATGATCGGTCGCACCTGTCTCTATCTCTAGCACTCGTTCAGTCTCATTCCTTAAAACACTCGCCTCATTGGTCATTACTGACTGATTTCCACACAAACAGGCCCAGAAACACACAAACACAGTCCCAGACTCTTGGTGTTGTTCATTCAGGCCCGATGGGAGATCAGCAGGGTGAGATTGTTGACTTTTTTTTTTTGGCTGTAGAGGGTCTGAAAGCTTACAACACACACTCACACACACACAAACGATCTACCGCAGTACTGATGGGCTGTATTCATCCTTCTTTTGCTCCCGTAGAGGTATCTGTGGTTCAGTGGTGCTCGTCGCCCTCTTCGCTTCACCTTTGTTCACTCCATCCCCTCCTCCTTCGCCCGTCGCCTGATCCGTTTCTTCCGCCCCCGTCGTCCCGTGCCTCTATTTCTGGATCTGAAAGATGAAGAGGCGGAGGTTGATGTTTTTGGCCGCGAGCAGCTTGTTGCACTCCACGCTGTCGCTGATGGGCAGCAGGGCGTACTCGGTCTCGTTGGCGTCGTTGGAGAAGACGTGGTGCTGGATGACGGGTTTGATTTTCACGTCGTCGTACGGGCCCTTCAGCAGCAGAAAGGAGCACTCCAGGGCAGAGTTCACTTTGCTCTTCAGGATGAGCTGGAAGGAGAGCGTGCGCTTGCAGGACAGGTTGGGGTTGCGCTCCGAGTCGTTGACCCGTGCCTTCAGGACCCAGGTCTGGTTGAGCACGGTGAAGCGAGGCGTCTCGTAGTACAGGCGTGTGATGAAGTCGTCGGTGCGGTAGGGCCGGAACTGCACCTCTGGGGCAAAGATACATGACGGTACAGGATATCAGTACTTCACGAAACAGGCAGTTATCGGTAACACTTTATGTAACGGAGGCCAGCTAGTGAGAGTTGTGCAGGTAAACCTCACTCCCTTGATCTCAAGAGGTGCACCAACAACTCATGCTAGAGACTACGGTCTTCAGCATCTTTGTTGGCGCACCGCCTCCTATGCCAGAGACGTGGGTTCGATTCTCACTCGGAGCGGGGCAAGTAGTACCAGAGGGTATAAATTGGTGCCGTGACCCAGAGGGAGGCCAGCTAGTGAGAGTAAGGCTCAATCCCAATTCACCCCTTGGCCCTACCCCTTGTTTTCGAGAGTACCCCTTGGCCCTTAAAACAGAGTGACTAGGGACAAAGGGTTGAAATATTCCTCTACGAAATGGAACAACCCTTCATGAACCCGATACATCATCAGTCGTCGGTGATGGCTCTGCCGTTACGGAGGTTTTTTTTAGAGGATTTAGAGGACAAGAGCCTGCTAGCCCTACTACTGATGGTAGTCTTTAGCCTCTGGCCAAAAAAACCCTCCGATTGATGCAAAATGACGATTTTTGTGTCATTGGAGGATTTTTTTCCAGACAAAAATACATGAATCTCTCGTCTCAGGGGGATATGAGGGTGGAATACTAAAAATACTACAGGTTTTCTACTAATACAAAGCTGAATGCTAAATCCTGAAGTATCCCTTTAAAACTTCAATGAACCAAAGACAACGGTTTGAAATTGCTGGCGTTTCTGACGTCACAAACTATCTTGTAACCAATCAAGTCAACACGTAATCGTCAACAAGTGGATCTCAAGTGGAGTGAGTGAGTGGAGGCGGGGCTCATTAGCATATTCATAGAACCACGTATACTAAATGAGGCAAGGGTGTAGAGTTACATTAAATCTATTTTAAGGCATGAAGATTTTTTTTCAAGGAAATAAACTTTCAATATGTCATTTTGGTGATCAAATATGAGTTTTAAAGGATAAAATGATTGACTACAGGGGAACTTTAAAGATCTACAGCAATATGCCAAGGAACCTAAATAAGCTAAGCATCATTTTAAGAGTCAATGGTGCAATGAAGCAAGACTCAAGGTTTCTATGTACCTGTAAAACCGATCTTCTCAAAGCACAGCAGGCTGAAGATGCTGTTGTAGAGCTGTAGCTCTCTGCGATGGCTCTGGTCCATCTCATCCAGGATACCCATCAGCTCCATGCCGGTCTTTGACGGGTGGCAGCACTCGGCCTCGTGAGCGCTGAGCTCGTGGAACGGGCCGTGCCATGGGCAGCCAATCCGCTTGTACTTGCACTGCGTCACTCTATTTCCAAAAACAAAAAAACAACACCTTTTTTTTAAATGACCAACCAATAACTCTAGCAATATAGTCTGTAAATACGGTCTCATCGCACAGCTCGATATATAATGTTGATATCCAACTTTACTATTGACCAGCTCAAATCTACTAAATGCAACTGTAAGGAATGTAGATAAGATAGTATGTCCCGGTTTTACAGACAAGGTTAGATTAAGCCAGGATTAGGCATTAGTTCAATAAGGGATTTTTAAGTGACTTTCATAAACGTGCCTTAGAAAAAAAAACTATTACTGATGTGCATCTTGAAACATTTACATTTATTCATCTAGCTGACGCTTTTATCCAAACGTCACATAAACATTAACATCATGATTTTCTGCAGAGCTGCTTTAAAACTATGTTATATAGATAAAGTTGACTTGACTTTTGCCTTGTATTTCAGTTTGGATATAAAATTATATACACTTTGAAGAGATTTATTTCTCTATGTTTATACATCTTTATGGCTAATTAAGAGGGAGGATAAACTAAACATAAATTGTGTCCACTGACTGCACAATTATTTATTTGCACCAAAGTCCTTTTAATGCCAGACATGCATGATCACAGTGGCCTCATATGTGATAAAGCACTAAAGTAAATCACTATGGATGAAAACATCTAAAAATCATCTCTCTTTAAATGAATGTGTGTGTGTTCAACTACATGTCGAGATTAGTGCCTGATTACAATGAATGGTAAAATTGTTGGTGACAGTTACTTACTATAGTAATAACAGTAAATAATGCATACTTACAAGTAACCCTAAACCAAACCGTAACCGTAACTCTATAGGAACGTACATGCAGTGACATGAACATACATAAACAAGCTTTTCGAAAGTTGTAATAGGCCAACATTAAAGTCACCATGAAATCAAAATTGACAATTCTTATTTTTTTATGGAATATTCCAGTATCCATTATAAATAAATAATCTGTGCACATCAGTATTTATTTATTTAAAAAAAAAAATACATATGCCCTCATAGTCTTTAATCAAAAACAATAACATTCCCGTTGCCTCACAAAGACGTCTCTTCTCTGACGAGGGCTGGGAAATAAGCTTGTCCAAACGCCAGTTTCAATTCTTCCCGTCCAGAAACCTGTCACTCACATGAAACCATCGCAGCAATTAGAATAAAAAGTCCATTCATTTTACCCAAAGGGAAATTGATTTTTAACAAGAATTTATGAACCATTAAAAACAGCCCTACTGTGAGCTATGAGATTGTTAATCGATGCTATATACTTTTGTCGAAGCCGATTATGTCAAAATCAATGGTGAAAACCGACATTACCCATGATTCTGTACAGAAAACTCCACCAATCAGTCAGAATTTCGATTTTTTTTTTTTTTTTGCAATGCTTCATGGGATTGCAGTTCTTTCTCTCACTAAAAGAGTCCCAGTCCTTTGTCTTTTTGTCCAATTTTCAAATGTTGTAAAGTTGTGATTCACCTTGTAGCTGGTTGGTTTGGTTCATGGCTTAAAGGGATACTCCACCATTTTTTCATGTTAAACTTTTTGTTACCGGCTGCTCACCGCTTAGGAGTTTTACCGCCCCCTACCGTATAAGATGACGTACTGCTTGTAAACAGAACGTTTTGCGCCTCCGGCTATATCAGTACGTCATCTTATACGGTAGGGAGCGGTAAAACTCCTAAGCGGTGAGCAGCCGGTAACAAAAAGTAGTCGAAGAAGAACGGTCTCGTCTCAGTTCTCGCGCATGCGCCCATAAGGAAGTAATGGAAAGTCGAATAAAGTCGTTATTTACGTTTTTTTTTCGCACAAAAAGTAGTCTCGTCGCTTGATAAAGTTATAGTTGAGCCACTGTAGGCACATGGAATATTTAAACCTTTTCTTTTAATGACTTTCTGGGCCGTCAAGAGGCAGTCCCTCAGGCTGTCTATGGAAGAGTGATACAGCCCTCAGATTCAATCAAAAATATCTTTATTTGTGTTCCGAAGATGAACGAAGGTCTTACGGGGTTGGTACAGCATGGGGGTGAGTAATTAATGACTTAATTTTCATTTTTGGGTGAACTAACCCTTTAAAACTCTTTAATAAAGACTTTTTAAAAATCCCTATAGGAAAAAAAATACTTCCGGAACCAAGGCTACTAAAAAAAAAGTGGGCGGGCACTAATTCACTCCATTTACAAAAGTAGCATGTTGTGCTGAAAAGAATCATAACGGATTTAAACAGTGATTGTGCCCACTTGTACACAAGTGTTTAGCGAACTGGCCTCATGGCTTTCCAGCGTAACGGTGTGTGTTTGGGGAATGGGTGCAGCAGTACCTGTCCTGGCACTCCTCTGTTTGGTGGCGCTCGAGGCCGGAGCGAGGGAACTGTTTGAGGCAGTAGCTGCACTCAGAGGGCAGTTCACTCACGGCTTTCTCCACCGCCAGGTTCCTGCAACACAGACTCTTACTGATCTCACAGCGGCAGTTAGGACACGTGGCCTGCTCCTCTTTGAGGCGCGCGTCAGCGAGCAGGTGGATGAAGCAGCCGGCGCACATCAGGTGCCCGTTTGTACACTGTGAAATGAGAGCACACATCTTCAGCCCACAACCAGAGCTCAAACAGGGAGCTTTATGCAAACACAAGGCCGCTGGACGGCATTTCCTCATTTCCTAGATTCCTGTAAATGAAAGCTGTGTCCGTAATCGCCCCCTATACCCTTATAACGGGGGGTAACGTTACCCTCATGTCACGATACGATATTATTGTGATAGTCCAAGACATGGTAAAAGGTTAACAAAATTTTTTACTGTTGATTAAAATGCTAAATTTGATATTACATTGTGGGTTTAAATGAATAGGTTTGGACTTGGTGCTTGTTAGCCAAGGACAGTGGTGACACCAGAATAACAACATTCATGATTCTGAAGATGAAAATAGAGAATTATTTTAGATGAATTTGCATTTGCACACTTTCACTTGACTAGATATATTTAAAGCTACACTGTGTGATTTTTACGCCCATCTAGCGGTGAAAAGATATATGACCATCCAGAGAATATTAGTTTTTGTTCCTCTCAATTCCAATTTCGTTTTAAGTCCTACGGTGGCAAATGTAGTCCAAGATTAACATGGTTTTCTGTTCGACCTTGTCCATGAGTGTTAACACAAACGTAAACGCGAAAGGCTTTCAAGATGGAGGGGCAACATGGCGACAGACATTAGAACCCCTAACCCGTATGTATTTTCAATGGCATATTATTCACTCACGAGAATACTTTATTACTTGAACAAAGTAAATATACATTAATGAGCACATTTATTTTTGAAAGAACTAAGTGTTTTTAGTTAAGAATAAACTAAAAGAGTTGCACAGTGTAGCTTTAAAGTAGAGTCTGACACTTTTTACTGGTAACATCAGACATTTGGCATTATCAAGACCCACAAATATTCCCACATTGCATTATTATACATTATAATCAACATTATATATAGTAGTTGAATGTAGTACTGAATTTTTTCTCACACAGTCATTTTTATTTTGGGAGGACTATCCACGATACATATTGTCAATATCCACGATACGTATTGTTGCATTTTTGCATTGCGATATATTGTTACACCCATATGAAATAGGACACTATTTGAGGGGACAGCCATTTGTAGTGGTGTAACACTCACTCACATGTGAACTATATTAGTGCACTAATGTAGAGATTAGTGAACGAGGGTATAAGGGCAATAAGCACAGTTGAGATCTATGAACTTATGAGCTTTGCAGGAAGGTAGTATGAACGAAGTCAAATCAGGTAAAAAAATAAAGTAAACAACGGTTTGTCCAACATTGGGCCTATATACCTCCACAAGGATCCCAAGGTTGGGTAGATGAAGATTGTTTGCATCAAGAACCCTGATCATTTCAGTCCGAAGCGTATGTGTGGAGCATTTCAGCGCAGAGAAAATGGGAGAAAGATTCCTTATTTCACATGCAAAGGCAGTTTTTGTTCTTAATTCGTAGGTGGATCTTAATGGGGGGAAATGATCATAATTATTAATAATAATAAATATATGTCCCCTTTAAGGTAAAAATGGGTTGTTAAAAAACTGTCATTTCAATCCTCGTATAAAAATGTACTCCATTTGTCATTTGCTTCAATCTCCGTTGCATCTAACACTGTAAATTTATGGTAGACTTTATTTTAGGGTGTCCTTGATAAAAGTACTGAGTAATATTAATTAATAACATGTACTTACTATAGAGTTAGTTGCAAGTAATTACACATAATTTACTGCTATAGTAAATACGTGTAACATGGACACTGAAAAATAAAGTCGTACCCGAATTTCACAAACAAATACGTGATATAATTAATGTGTTTTAAAAACTGTTCTAAGATAATTCTTCCTTTATTCTATGCCAAAAAAATTGTGGCTTCCCCTGTATTTTAAGGTGACATAGTAACATTGTACTTACTCAAATTTGTACTGAGTAATATGAATTAGCTGCATGTAGTTCCTATAGAGTTACGGTTATGGTTTGGTTTAGTTACTTGTAATTATGCATAATTTACTGTTATTACTATAGTAAGTCCATTAAGTAATGTGTAACTACATCACCATAAAATAAAGTGTTACCATAAAATGTTTACATTTTTTATTTTGAAATTTTCTGTATTAAAACAGTCATTGTTTTTTTATATAAATAGTTTCATTTATTTTTTATTCTAGTTTTAATTATTGTGAGTTCTTCTTGTTTTATTTCGGTTAACAAACATCTTTTTTTGTAGTTTTTAATTTCATATTCAAAAAGTTTTTCATATAAAATTGTATGTTTTTTTATTTATTTAATGTTTATTTCAATTAACAGAACTACTTTTAATAGATTTTGTTTTAGTTAACAATAATAACGTGATTAATTCAGTGGGAAGTTGATTTTTTTTTTCTCCCTGGCTTGTTTGCTTTGCTCATGGACTTGCACATGTTCATCTCATTTGATAGGATTCATCCCCTGATTCTGTAATAAACAGATTACATGGCATGAGTTTAACAGCACTGATGCGCTCTGAGTCTGACACCTCCTCCCTCAATCACATGCTCAAAGTGAGAGGATGTCAGTTTTCTCATTATCTGTGTTATGTGTGTCTATTGCTTCCTCTAGTTTCAGCAAAACACGCAAACAAAATGACCACTCTAGTGTGGATTTCTCCAATTATTATTTATTAATCAAGTCATTAAATGGACACTTGTAAAAAAGTAAACGTGGGTAAGCTGTATGCAAACCGAAAACGCCAGCACATTTGAACAAAGTGTGTGAAAACATGAGAGGAAGTTATTTTACAGCTGGTTTAGCCTGTGGCTTCAGAGGGATTATATGGGGTGCATATTTGGGGGAGGGGTGATCAGAAGAGGCCGGCAGTGATTGGGTTAAACAGGTCATGTGACCACCCTGATTGTCATGTTGGCCTTTAAAGGCATAAAACAGCTGTCTGTGTCACATGAAGTGCAGAATCTGAAACCTTCGCAAATAACACCATACCTGCTCTTAAAAAAAAAAAAAAACAAAAAAAACATGTACCTGGAATGGCATATATGTGCATTTTATTAAACATATTTTTTCCAGACACATTATGAGTCACAGACAGTGTGCAATCAGCTGTATTATATGCAAATACAATAGACAAACAATCACAATGACAAAAAGATACCCCCCTTTGTGTCATATCTATAATAACAGACACTAATATCTCTTGCATTCCAAGAGGATGCTGTGTTGTGTACTTTGATAGCTGCATTATGTTTATGGTATATACGTCATGCATACAGATTTCTCTGCATTGTAAGTCTCCATAATGGCTTTGTTTACCTGGTACACCGAGGCTTTAGGCAGGTCCAGGCACACCGTGCAGCAGAGCACCGAGTACAGGCGCTCCTCGAGCTTCCCCGCCTCTCCTTCCTGGTGCCTCACGCGTTTCTTAGGCGGTGCGTCCGGGTCGGCCTCGGAACCAGGACCGTCTCTCCGCACACCGGACTCCTCCTGGATACCGGCCAGTCCTGCGCTCCCTGGGCCCGCATCCAGGACACCCCCCACAGGACCGACACCCAGCCCCGAAGATGAGGAGCCCGGGGCGGCCGCGACGCCTAATTCCATCCGCTCTTCCATCGAAGACATCCGAATGAGTCACGAGGGGTGTTTGGGCTGACTGAGCACAGGATCCGCTGAATGTCAGGGTGAGATTTTCAGGTTTTTCCAGGTAGTTGGCCTTTAATGATGGGGGGTCTGGACAGCCAACAATGCACTCAGTTGTAAACCATCAAACGTCAGTTCAAATAGGCTAATTTTGGGTAATATGATACTAGGTAAAGGGACAGTGGATATAATTTCATCAGGGTGTTACTGCGGTTTGGCCTGCATGGATGCCTATAATTTTTTTTTGGATAGATCTCAGGTAAGCTTCGGCTCTCAGCTTGTGAAAAGAGAGAGAGACAGAAAAAAACAGCTAAGACTCAACAAAACAACAGGCTGTTGTTTAGGTCCGTTATCCGCCGTGACAGCACGCACACGGCGACTCTCTGCGACCGGGCCGGGCTCTTTCCCTCCGGTACACCTTCCGATCACAACCGAGCCACTCCGAGACGATCCGGATTCTCCCGAAAGCCTAAAAATTATCAGTTTGCTGCACAGTCTCTTCGATAGTCCTTCCCTTAATCTACACTGCCATCTTTGTTTTTTTCCTGACTGTCTCCTCCTCTGCCCCTGTCCGCTTGTCCCTTTCTGATTCTGCCAATCCGAGGTCGGTTTACTCAGAGCGAGCTGAAGAACAAGCGTATCCTGTCATCCGTTATTGAACTGTCAGTGAATACGTTGCCACTAGCAAATATGGCCGCTCTGCCCTTCTCTTTCGCGCTTCCTGATTGGCTGCAACAAATGTTGTGCTTCATCAGATGACTAGGGATATTTAAAGAGCTATACTTTGCGCATGCGCACCGGCCTCCTGCGGGTCATGGCTGAAGCGTTTTTTTTTTGGGATAAAGGTGATCAAAAACTTTTGTAATTTGGATAATCTGGAGCTTGTTTTTAGTAGATTTGTTCATATTTTATTGTGCTAGTTTGTCACATTATTGTCATGGCGATTATAGTACAAAGAAAGAGTAAAAGGGTGAGCAAACCTTTTCATACCATGGTCAAAATCCCATAACACTCCTCATATTCGGAAAAAATGGCAACGTCATCGTGGGTTGTTATTAATACTTGACAGAATAATGAATGGAAGAATCATTTTTTTTTCTCGGATACATATGTTTTTAAAGACATGTTACACATTTAAGCTGCTTTTTAATCTCTTTAAATTTTTTTCACCTTCTTTGTTTTTTGACCCGAAACCCGACCCCTGGGGGAGGGGAAATGACCTCAACCAATCAAATGTCGCGGTTTATGATGGACTGGTTTGTTTAAGACAGCTGTCAGTCTAGTTTCCCCAACCTGAACAAGCTTTGTGGTTGAATGGGGGGATGGGACTGGGAGTGTGTTTCCTAATTATATACTGAATAGCCTAGCCTACTACTATAAGGTATGTGTTATTAAATGGGCATAACAATGTAAAAAAGAATGTATTAATTACGTTGAGATTAATAGTGTTTTTATGCACATCATACCTATCTAAAACACACTTAAAATATAGGCCTACCACATTTAAAATGAAGGTTGAAGTCACCTGACAAGGACAAGGGCTTTCTTCATTAATTATTAGCTCTGTACACTTGGTATTTCAGATCTTACCATAATGAAAATGTATTTATTGATTATTATTAGTAATTAAGAACAGGCCGGTTATGTAGGTTGATAACTGCCTGTTCTGTCCAAAAAAATATTAAGAATAGTTGTATGCATTAGTCTTTTAAAAATCTGAATTACTAATATTAATTTTGGCCGATATCTTAAATGCCTTGTCTTATAAAAGTCCGGAGAAACGAAATTAAAACTTCAAACAAACAAAGATTAAATGAAATTTTATCATCTTAAAAACAGCATTTTACTGCCCAAATTATAGAAACGTGTATCCGAACAGCTAGTGAAGTTTAATTGTATTATCCTACAGTCTAAAACATTTACACAGTACTCATAATAACAAAAATAACTTTAACAGAAATGCTGAAAAATACTAAAACAAATATAAAGTCGTGCTATGAAACGAAACAAGCGAAGACAAACAATACTAAATACTTTTAGCTTATTGCTAGCTAGTCTGCCCAACTAAACATTTCCACACACATTGGCACTCAAGTAATAGAGGCCGAGCTTGACTGATACTGATACAAAACTAGTCCTTCCTTATTGAAATGTTTCATCTTTACAGTTTCTTTTATGCCGTCTCTCTTTTAGACAAAGTAATAATTATAGGCCTATATATACAAAAACAACGTTAAAATAAAACATAAATAGCCCTCTTTGTCTAGTCAGTAAATAATCTCATAATAATAATAATAATGTCTAATAATGTCCTGGGTTATTTCATTAGTGACCTGTAGGCCCACACAGAATAAACACTGAATTTGTATTTTTTTTTTTAATATTGGATTATACAAGAATTATAGCAAGAAGAGTGCACTCATTTAACGGTAGAGTAGGCAATTTCTGAGTGGCTAGTGGCAAGCTAGCTTTGAAAGCATGAGATTCGGACCGAATGCAATGATTAGATGAACGTGGTTTGGTCCTGAGACTTCCACAGAAGATATATATACACATGTTTTCATATTGAGACAACGATTATGGACTGCTATCGGGATGTGAAGAGAGTTTCAAAACAAAAAGTGTTTATAAAACAAGGAATACCCTTCCTTGAGTGCAGAAATGTGGAAACCAGTGCCGATTTCACTGGGGCCTGGTCAAAAAAAAGGTAAACTTTCTGTCAGTATCAGTGCTTAAAGTCTGTGTGTATGTTTAGAGAGAGAGAAGACACTAAATGTTTTTGTATCATGGTGTTAAATTTTTTCAAGTCATACCGTCCCTCTTTTTCACATTCACATGGCCTGTATTGTCCTGACTCTTTTGTTCTCTTCATATATCATTGGTTTCTTCTAGTCAGTTGTTTATGCTGGCTTCATACCCTCTAACTCACTTCTCACTCTTGTTTTGAGTCAGTATCTTCTTGCTGTGCTGGTTTCTCAGCTACGTGCTGATCTGTGGTGTTTTGAATGTTTGTTGTGGTGTCTTCGGCATGGGATGAATATTGTTGGTTGCTCATCATGTTTTGAATCTCTTGGTTTCTGCCATGTGCGTTGATATCTGGTTCATAGTTATTGTTCGGTATATTCTCGTGAATTTGTGCTGCATGAAATTTCTCTGCCAACATCTCTGGTTTTTGAGAATCTCTCTTATTAATAATTTCCAGCTGTCTGTTTAGTCTCTGCATGTCAGCTGTGGTGTGAGTGGCCTTTGCCGCCCCCTTGTGGTCTTGTTGTGCTGCTGCATGTTGAAGCCAGTCCTGCTGCAGGGTTTGTCCTGCTGTCAAACGTCTATTTGGGTTGACCTCCAGCAGAGCCCTGACTAGAGCTTTAGCCCCTGGGAAACACAGACATCAACACCTGTCATGTGTTTAGATAACAGCATCTAAATTACAGTAGATCTGAAGGGTTTACAGGTACGGTTCAACCCAAAATTCTCTCATTTACTACTCCACCCGAGAAGAAGTGCATGAATTGCAGAAGGAACATGATACGAGTTTGAAACAGCATGAGGTTGAGTAAATGAGTAGCCTTTTCAATTTGGGGTAGACTAACACTTAAAGAGATAGTTCACCCCAAAATGAAAATTCTCTCAGTAATTACTCTCCCTCATGTTGTTCCAACCCCGTAAGACATTCGTTCATCTTCGGAACACAAATGAAGATATTTTTGATTAGATCTGAGAGCTGGATCACTCCTCCATAGGCTTCTAAAGGATTGAAACTTGCCAGCCTGCCAGCCCAAAAGTTATTAAAGACATCGTTAAAATAGTCCAAGTGACTACAGTGGCTCAATCTTATGTTTATCAAATAACGAGAATACTTTTTGTGCAAAAAATAAACAAAAATAACGACTTTATTGAACTATTCATTTCCTTCTCTTTTGGCCTCGAGATTGACGCATCGTAAGCTAGAAATCTAGATTCCCCCTAGTGGCCGCAAAAATTATTTTTCAGCCAGTGTGGTCCATAGACAATATAAGAAGTGGACAGAGCCATCTCATTGGAACTCCATTGAGACAAGTGAAGCCCGTTTTTGGCAAAAAAAATTTTTTTAGGACTTCCGTCCCTGACGCGCAGACTCAAACAGAGCTTGACGACGTAGATGTGACGAGAGCAACCCGTCTGTCTTCTAGTGGCTGTGGCATGAGAAATCTGAATAATTCCCTTCCGAAACTTGCAGAGGCGGAGAGTGTGAGTAGGAGCCGTCCATGAGCTAGGAGAAGGAGACAATTTTGCTAGGTTTCCTGATTAATTATTTTGTCATTTTGCCTCCACGTTTCCCCAATTGCCCACGAGCTTCTCCTCCTGTCCATACGGTAATCTCTCTACTGTGCGACAGAGAGTCGTGTAGTTATGACGCAATCGTTAGCCTACTTTTACAAAAAACTGCTTCTACGGGGCCATAACATAAGCTACAAGATAATGGAGCATTTTATACGTTGTCGTGTTTCTTTAGAAATAAATAATGGACAAATGGGGCCTTCAAACGCCTCAGATGTAAAGTTATTCGCTGTCAAAGTGATTCCAAAATGAATGGGAGTCAAAGGAAATGCTAACGCAAGTGAAGTTCTGCTACAAGATGGCAGCTCCTGCGAGGCTTCAACTTCCGGTCGATTACTCCCTTGGTGTGGTCTAGCAACTCTCCGTTGGATTTTGAGCTGGAAAAAACAAACTCTAGTCAGGCCAATCACATCGTGTATACAGTTGGTGGGCGGGCTTAGCATAATGACGGCAGATTTGTGACAGTTCCATGTGATTTCCCTGCTACTTGAAAACAAAGAATATGCTGCTGCTGGCGAACAGCGGTCTTTCACATTGGCTTTGGCCGCGACTCTGGAGGACTTGGAGTTAAGAGAACGTCATTCTTAAAAAACTAAGATGTGTTCAGAGTTTTGACGACGGGATACCCAAGCGGGAAAACGCAAGGGACTCAATCATCCACAACCGTTCGTTGCTCTGGTTGGCTGTGGCACAATCCTACCGCGTGCAGAGAGATTTTGAAAGACAACCGTTTATCCCGCCCCCTGGTTTAAAGCATGCCAATGGTGAGTTCCCAGACCTAACATCCTGAAGTAGGTCTGGCATGCCAGGCTAGCGCAACGGTTCTAGGTTGTACGTCACACGCATCACACACATGACCAGCGTCGGCCAATAGTGAGCCTATGTGTGACGTACAACACAGAAGCGCTGCGCTGTTACACTACGAGAACTATCTCGAGGCCAACAGAGAAGGAAATTAATAGTTGAATATAGTCGTTATTTTTGTTCATTTTTTTTTTGCGCAAAAAGTATTCTTGTCGCTTGATAAACTTAAGGTTGAGCCACTGTAGTCAATCGGACTATTTTAACAATGTGTTTAATAACTTTTGGGCTGGCAAGTTTCAGTCCTTTTAGAAGCCTATGGAAGAGTGATCCAGCTCTCAGATCTAATCAAAAATAGCTTAATTTGTGCTCCGAAGATGAACGAAAGTCTTACGGGGTTGGAACAACATGAGATGAATAATTACTGACAGAATTTTCATTTTGGGGTGAACTAACCCTTTAAATCTCTTTTTAATTTTGTAGGGGGTCAAATGTTGAAGTTCAAGATCTCACCCTCGGACACGTTGTCCCAGTAAGGAGACAGAAAGTGGACTTCACCCTTCTGGATGAGACGGAATAGTTCCTCTTGATTGCGATCCGGACTGCGGAAGGGAGGAAAGCCACTGAGCAGCACAAACAGTATAACACCCATCGCCCAAACATCTACTCCAACACCGTAACCTATTCAAATATAGACATAGACATGCTTAGCTGATCACAAAGCTGTACCTCAGGTTTTTTTTGTCCTTTTTTTTGTAGTTCAAACATTACCTGTCTCAGCAAGTATCTCTGGAGCAACATATGTAGGTGTGCCACAAACTGTGAAGACTGGCTCCGTTACCACCATGGCTAAGCCAAAATCTGCCAACTTCAGATTCAGACTTCCATTGCCATGCCGCTGTACCTATAATCAGTAAAAAAAAAAACGAGATGATATCAGCTGGATGTTGTATTATTTACTGTTTTTAAATGCATGTCCAATACAATACTAAGTGATTGCAAATAGCCTACTGCTGCTGAATCTGTTGCAATGATTCTGTTCGTCTTCACCAGTCCTCATTTGTAGTGTTGGAAATCCGATTCATTTAATTGACTCGGTTCGTTCGGATGTTTTATGTAAATAAACAGATCAATAACAATTCATCCGTTCCCGTTCCCTGTCCTATGTATTATGTTTTACACTGATTTAAGTAAATATTGTTGTATTTAGTAGTTATGTAATATTATTTGGTTATATTATATATATATATATATATATATATATATATATTTAATTGTTTAAATTGTCGGTAGTCTATGAAATAATACTTAACATTTATAACTAAAAAAATACAGTGATTTAAATAAGCTGAAATAAAATAACATACATTTTAGATGAAAAACTAAAATTAGAAATGTTGCCTTGGCAGCTAACTGAAATTAATAAGTTTGAGATGATTTTAAATTGAGTGACTAGAATGAAAGCCAAATAATTAAAGTAATGTATAGAAATAAAAAAAATAATAATACAAATGACTAAAACGGAATATAGATAATAACAACAACTATAAAGATTTTGTTTTAAAAATCGTTCTAAATTGAAATTATAGTGGGGTCCACAACTATAATGACACCAACAGAGGAAAATGTATTTGGAATCGTTTTCAGAACGATTTTTTTTATCGAGTTGATGAAAGATATCAACATTAGCAGCCAATCAGAATCCATCCTGCTTTAAAGAGCATCCCTATTTAAAGAGACAGGACACAAAACTGCAGCGTCCACACAAGCGGACAATACGTTCTGTTGAATGCTCAAGCTCTTTAAAGCAGGGTTGGATTCTGATTGGCTGTCAATGTATTTATCATTTATCAGCTGGAAGAAATGTTCTGTAAGTGATTCCGACGATATTGTTTCTCTGTGCCGTTATCGTTAATGTGGTGTGGACTGTGCTATTCTTCTTTAAGGCCCTTGCACACTGAATCCGAAATGCGTTTTTTCGTATTTGTGATTCGGTGTCTAAACACTTTGAATTGTCAAAACACCATTAAAGGAGTAGTTCACTTTTAAAAAAACGTTTGCTGATAATTTACTCACCCCCATGTCATCCAAGATGTCCATGTCTTTCTTTCTTCAGTCGAAAAGACATTAAACATTCCAGGATTTTTCTCCATATAATGGACTTCAATGGGAACCAAGCGGTTCAAGGTCCAAAAGACAGATTCAGTGCAAACTCCAAACTGTTCAAAGGGCTTTAAACAATTTCAGATGATGAATAAGGGTCTTATTAAGCGAAATGATCTCTCTTTTTAAAAAAAACTAACAAAGTTTAAGTTTTATAAGCTCAAATGGTCACCTTGCTCTGTTCTGTGATGCGCATTCGTGACTCTCCTGTTTGAACTCGTTTATCAATATGAAATAATCTTTTTTTGTGTCATTTGGTTCATTCAACGAACGAAATGAATGAGTTGACTATGGAAAAGATTCGTTCATTTTAATAAACGAGTTTGAACAGGAGAGTCACGAACGCGCATCACACGACCATTTGTGTTTATAAAACTTAAACTTTGTAAGATTTTTTTAAATGAACGATCGTTTCGCTTCATAAAACCTTATTCATCGTCTGAAATCGTTTAAAGCTCTTTGAACAGTTTGCACTGAAACTGTCTTTTGGACCTTGAACCATTTGGGGCCCAGTAAAGTCCATTATATGGAGAAAAATCCTGGAATGTTTTCACCAAAAACCTTAATTTATTTTCGACTGAAGAAAGAATGACATGCATATCTTGGATGACATGGGGGTGAGTAAATTATCAGCAAAAGTTTTTTTTTTTTTAAAGTGAACTACTCCTTTAAAACAGCTTGCTACGGATGCGAAAAACGCAGAAAATCTAACCCGATTCGATTTTTTTTATGACGGACGAAAGTTCCGGAGGCAGTGTGCAAGCATGATTGACATAACGTGAGGTCATATTTATTTTTTAACGTGCAAAAATTTCAGACGCGAATTTCGGACTCAGTGTGCAAGGGACTTCAGACTGATTTTTAAAACTTCATCATTATCGTCCTTGGTTAAGACTGTATTTGAGTAACTCTCGTCTCTTACCAGCAGGTTTTCAGGTTTGATGTCTCGATGTGCAATGCTCTTGTTGTGGATGTATTCCAGAGCCTGACTGATATCTGTGATCATGCATGCAGCTCTCGGCTCAGTAAACCTGCCGCTCTGAGTGATGGCGTCGAACAGATCTCCACCGGTGACCAGCTCCATCAGCAGGTAAACGTGAGTGTCCGTGTGATGAGAACGAAACAGCTGGATGAGTCGAGGATGTTCCAGACTTCGCAGCAGAGCGATCTCATTCTGGATCATGTGACCGCGTCCCTGCAGCTTAGCGTTGTCCACAATCTTCATGGCGAAGGTTTCATCCAGGCCTTTCACACGGCACTCTCTGACCACCGCAAAGTTCCCGTCTCCCACCACACGACCCATGTCGTAGCAGCGCTCGATGTCCTCCGGAGATAGTTCTGCACCGTCAGGTGGGAAGTCTTTCAGCTCCACGGTGTCCTGCTTATCAATGTCCCGCTCGGGTGTTATTAAGTTAAGAGCGTTTTGAGGAACAGAAGGGTTAGATTTCGTATTGGCAACATGCTTATCAGCTTTCAGCGGTCTATGCTGCGCTTTGTCCAAAGAAACCATATTGTTTTGAGATGTACTACTTTTATTACTGGGGTTATTCGTCCTGTCCGGTTGAGAACTTCGACTGCTTCTGATTGGAGGAATAGGAGGGACGCATCCTCGACAGCTCCGGCAGAAAACAGCGTCTCTCTTTCTTTCCTCTTTCTTCGGCTCCTTCTCATCTTCCTTCAGCAGGTCAGCTTTCCTCCTCCATAGTTCTCTTTGCCTCTCTCTCTTCACCTTTTGCCTTCCAACGGGCTGCAGGTTGTTGACCGGTGGTTGGTTCACCTGGTGATCCCGCACCGCAGGCAAGGACACCTCAGGATCGTCATCATGGAAACCACTGTCAGCTTTAGTGGCCTTGGGTCTCAGGATACGCTCCCACACCCTCAGCAAGTTTTCGCAGTGTCCGGGGTTTTCGGGATAGAGCTCATCCAGAGCTGCACTGATTTCCTCAAGCGACGGCCGGGTGTTCCCGAAAGCCAGAAAGGCCTGATCGAAGCGGAAGAAGTCAGTGAGGCTTTGTATCTCTCGGCCAGAAGGGCTAAAGAGACGTCGTATTCGAGCGTTGTTCCAGCAGGGGAAGCCCAGCGCCTCGGACACATCGGCCACGAGCTGCTCGAACGTCTGCACCGCGCGCCGGTTCAACAGCAGAGAGATCTTCCTCACGCTGTCCCGTCCACACGCTCGCACCACGCTCACGATCCGCGGGCGCACAGGGCTTGATTCTGCGTGCCGGGCATGATAACCACTCGCTCTGGGCATTCCTGCTTCTTCCCAATGACACACAGGGCTTTCTGAAGGCCCAAAGTCTGTCAGGGGTCTTCGGGGTCTGGATCTGTGCAGGTAAGAGGGAAGAGGTTGCCGAGGGGCAACATTTGGGCATTTTGGCAGTTTAGTCCTTTGATCTGCAACACAAACATGTATTGTTAGGATATAATTTGCTATTTTTTATTTATTTTTTGTTAGAAGAGCAACTTGTCCAAAGATATGCTTTGCTCATCAAAAACGCAGCACATTTAAAATTGCTCGATCAGATTTTGGAGGAGAAAAAAAAGCTTATACAGGCGAATTAAAGAGGAAGTGTGCAACATTAATAATTGAGAGCAGGTGTGTATTGAGGAGCAATGCTGAGACATGCTGTTTCTCAAATTGCACCACATGCTCCAGGGGTAACGGAAAAGGATCAAATCTGATCATGTCGGATCACTTTACTCTGCTTGCGCAGCTTTCTTTCTTTCTTTCTTTCTTTCTTTCTTTCTTTCCATGCATGCACTAAACACATGTCTGATTTCTTTAAGTGGAAGGATGCAGGAGGCATTAAGAAATTGAACACCAACAACGCTCAAAGATGCTGTTTCACAGAAAGATGTTTTGAAAGGACTGTTACCAAAGAAAAGCCACTGTGAAACCAGTTACCAATGCATGAATAAAACTAAAGTTATTTTTTAAACTGAATTACGTTTTTATATCAATATTATTATTTATCTAAGAAATAATAATTATATCATATTAATTAGTTTGTTTATTCATCATAAGAATCATAGCCCAATAGGATACTCGTTACGGAGATTATTCAAATGTGGACTGGTTAATTGACCAAGTTAAACTTTTAGTAATTGTCCTATTCTCTTAATGTATATTAATGAATCATTTGAACTCGCCTGTCAGTCCCCATCTGGGTCTCGGTGGCTCTCGCCCCGGTCGCTGGTTCCACACCGGTGTCATTCTGTTCCCCTGCTCGCAGTTTCATCAGTGTTTATGCAGATATAAACACGTGAGTCTGATTCACTGCTCATACTGTCCCAGATGTCCGGCGGCGTTACAAAAAAAAGTCTGTAACCATGATGAAATCAACGCGCACCTCTAAACAAGCTTATAAGTGTCCTTGAGGAATCGTGAAAGTTTAAAACAGCGCTGAATTTAAAGCACAGTGAATCGGACACGCGCACACAGCCAGTGAGTGTTCAGTCAGACATGAGGTAACGTGGGGATATCGAGAACACGCATCTTTTGGAAAAGCTACGAGCGCGTTACCGGATACTCCGCATCCTGCAAGCGCGTCTCCCCGGTAACACACAGAGAGCTGAAACACACACACACACACACACACACACACACACACACACACACACACACACACACACACACACACACACACACACACACACACACACACACACACAAACACAAACACACACACACACACACACACACACACACACACACACACACACACACACACACACAGAGAGAGAGAGATAGGTCTGTTTGACTACTGAGAAGGCCACGTCATACACTTCCACAGTTTTCATATAGCAGCCGTCCAATAGAAATAATGAAGAACAATATGTGGCCAATTTATGACCCCCTATCCTTTTCACTAAGAACTCATAAAACATCCCATTAACCGCATTTGACTCTCAGAAGAAGAACACAGTTAGACTATTATTTAAAAAAAATACTAGCCTAATTAAAATTTATTTAAAACTAGCCATTTTTTAATCAAAGAAAATGTAGGCTATTTATTATTCTTGTATGCATTAACAATTATAGTTTTAATATATTGGCATTTTATTGGCATTAGGCCTACTGGCACCTTTTTATTTGTTCTTTTTGTTCTTCATGCCAGAAGGAATGAGATTTAGATATAAAATAGTAGTCTTTAAAGATGTCTATGAATATGATGTTGAGTATCTGTTTGTGAATATTTCAGTCATTGCCATTATCGGTGTTTTGTTACATTGACAGAAATTCACTCAACTGATTTCAATAATAGCCTTTTTTCCCCTCTTTCCCATATTCTCTGCCTTATTTCCCACCCACTCACCCCTTTATTCGTTGAACTTCCCGACACTTTGTCTTCGCAGGTCTCCCATTATGGCTGTATTACCATGGTTACTGTTAACACAGCAGTCCTGCTTTGTGTCAGGAGGATGGCTTTGCTGGCCTTTGCTGTGTGTGAGCAGCTGTAGATGAGTTGTGTAAATGTGTCCATTAGAGGGCAGTGTGTGTTCGACGGTAGTGGGGTATGGAGGAGCTTCGGGTGATAGGCAGACTCGGTTTATGTTTTCCTAGTACACATGTCAGTGACAAAACAAGCGTAAAAAGCCGTGTTTTACAGTGAATTTAGAACAGTTATGACACTTGACTCATTAAAACTAACACTTATAATTCTATTCTATATATTTTTATTTAAAAACAAAAAAATGCTATGTTTATGTGTAAAAATGGCTGTGCTGTGCTGTTGCCAGAGGCAGCCTTTGCAATTCGGAGGCCCGTTTCAAAGAAACAGTTGGAGGCTTGGATTTACTTTTAAATTTTACATCAAAACACCAGAGGTACTTTTTTAAATAAGTACTTTACAAATCAAGTTACTTTGTTTTCTCATTTATTGACTGACAGCTCCTGTCCCCATGTTGACACAATCGGGGAGTAGCCTAGTGCTGCAGAGGTGTCGTCTGTGGGAACATGATGTTATGTTACTGTAGATCAAGACTAAATGAGCATGCATTTACTTATCTGAATTGCACAAAAAAAAAGATTCAGTAGGCTATTACTAAAAAAAAAATCCGTGAAATGCAAAATCAGAATACTATGCAAACCTCCAATAATTAGGCTGAGTTTGCATACACCTTCTGGTGCTACTTGGATACGTCATCAGTGAAGTACCCGGGGTCATAGGGTGTTTCGGGTCTTTAATCTTCATACACCCTCACCCGGGCGACCCAGCCGGGGGTGATCAGTCCCCGGCTTGTGTCCAAGTGGCATGTTGCTCCACGTTTCCCCCTATACACAGCCTGCTCTGCGGCCTCAAAGATGTTTGTGGTGGCCTTCTTCAGCTGTAGTCCTTTCACTCCAAGGAGTTTGAGGGTTCACAGCAATGAGCGACCAGCGAAGCCTCGGCATCCGACCTCGACTGGCTCGCAGCGAGCTTTCCAGCCGTTGTTACGGCACTCCGAGCTGAGTTCTGCATATTTAGCCCTTGTGGGCTCGTGGGCCTCTTCAATACTATCTTCCCAGGGGACAGTTAGTTCCAGGATGACCACTTGCCTAGTAGACTCAGATGTTAACACCATGTCTGGGCGGAGAGAAGTGGCTGTGATGTTGCCTGGAAACTTAAGCTGTCTTCCGAGGTGTTGGAGGACTTGGAGCGGCCAATCACGAGCAGTGGAGAGGAGCCCCCCGTAGAGCTAGGCTGGTGGTTTTGTTCCTTCTGCCCAGCTCTAATGAAGGTGATTGTTTGTTTGGGGGCTGCCTGGGTCTTGCTGAGCTGGATTGCTGTGTGAATAGATTCAGCCAAAGCCTTTAACACCTGGTCGTGGCGCTAGCGGTACCACCCCTCTCCTAGCGCTTTTGAGCAGCTGCTCAATATGTGCTCCAGCATGCCCCTCTTCTGATGCAGCTTGCACTCAGGAGTATCTGCCAGGCCCCAGGTATGCAGGTTAGCTGGGCTTGGGAGGACGTCGTAGACCGATTAGACAAGAAACTTAATCCAAAATGGCTCTGCTTTCCAGAGCTCTGCCCAAGTAATTCTGCGTGGGTCTACGCGTTCCCACCTGGTCCACGCTCCTTGTTTGGACATGCCGGCCATTTTGGTGCAGCGTTCTTCCTCCACCTCTGCTCGTATCTCGTCCTGAATCATTCTACGCCTCTCTTTCCCCCAGGCCAGATAGTAACATGGCTTGGGAAAACAACCAAGACCTGCTCGTCCCGTCGCCACGGAGCCCACCAGCGTTTTGTGCCTTAGTCGCGCCTCAGCTCTGTTGACGGCTTCTTGCGCCTGCCACTTCCTCCCGGTCTTCACAAGGATTCCTGCTGCTGCAACTTTTGTGTCCCTGGAGTCCCTGTACATCAACACCTCTCTGGAGCGGGTGACAGGAAATCAGGTCGCGCTTGGTTTGTTTTATGGCCGCTGAGTCCTTCAAGAAGATATCAAAGATCTTCCCCAGGCTCTTGACCGGTCTTTCAGACACCGATGGAATCATTGTCTTTCCCAGGGCAAAACGAAAACGGTCGGACACTTTACCCTTCTTTAGGACCAGAGACCTGGACTTAGCGGGCTTGAAGCTCATCCTTCCCCAGGACATGAGACTTTCAAGCCCCTGGAGGAGCCACCTGCATCCTGGAACAAATGTTGTCATCACTGTCAATCGTCCATAAAAGCTCTTATGGGGGGCTGACGGATCCCAGATCTTGACCTCTACATTCCACCTCGGCCGACTTGACAATCAAGTTCATGGCAAGTGAGAAAAGAGTTACAGAGATTGTACAGCCGTGATTATCCCTTTTTCAAGTTTATGCCAGGAGGATGTTGCTTGGCCTGAAGAGACTCGCGCGCTGAAGTTGTTATAATAGTCCATGATAAGGTTGCAGATCTTGTCAGGAACATGATGTCTTACCAATGCGATTTCCACAAGCTTATGCGGCACAGACCCGTAGGCATTGGCCAGGTCAAGCCAGAGAGTTGCCAGATCTCCTTTGCTCTCCCTAGCCTCCCGGATCAACTGTGTCACCACCCCTGTGTGCTCCAGACATCCAGGTACTCCTGGGACTCCTCCCTTCTGGACTGAGGTGTCGATGTAGGTGTTTTTCAGGAGGAAGTCCGTCAGACGTTGGGACACGATTTTGAAAAAGATCTTGCTTTCAACACTGAGCAGCGAGATGATGCAAAACTGATCAATGTTGCAAGAGCCCTCCTCCTTCGGGATCCAGACTCCCTCAGCATGTCTCCATTGCCCAGCGACTTTCCCTCTCCGACAGATCACCTTCAGAATCTTCCATAAACGTCTGAGGAGCTGCGGCCACTGCTTGTAGACCTTGTAAGGGACCCCGCTGGGACCTGGGGTGGAGCTGGTTTTTGCCGAACTAACAGCATCTTTCACCTCTTTCAACGTGGGTTCAGCGCAGTCGAATTGGGTCCCTGGTTCAGGTGGCGCCACCAACTCCCTGCAAGGTCCGAGATCGTGGTCTCACGAGATGTCACAGAGGCTAAATATGTTAAATACAACAAATATTTTTTATGTATTTATACTCACTCACGACACTCACTATTGACCAATGTACTTGTTGCTGACCTTCGACGATTCATTTAAACCATAAGCAAAAATTACTTTAGATTTTTACTCTTTTGTTAAAGTTTCTTCAGCGATCCAGAATGAGGTTTGTTTAAGCTAAGCCCTCAACGGTACAGGTGTGAATTTGCCTTCCCTTCAGCCTTGTTATTTCAATTTTAGTGTGCAATTAAAATGTCCTGTCCAATCGCCCCCAAAATATCTTTTTCGTTATAAAAAAACCCCAAACAAGCCCAGCCCTTCAGGTGAGAAAAAGTAACACAAAAGTAACGTAATGCATTACTTTCCACAAAAAGAAGGCCTATGTGCACTTGAACACGAGTCTCAACCAAAGAACCAATCAGAATCAAGGACGGAACTATCCTTTTTAAAATGTATTTATTTTGCTATATAATCCTACTTGTGCGTTACATTTGAATTTACGTAATTAATATTTATTTGGAGGGACAATGATGAAACATTGAACACCACGTTATATAAATAGATTAAATGTAATTTGATCATTAAGGTCTAAACATTCAGGAAAAAAAATGGTACAAACGTCGTCACTTGGGCCTATCATGTACCACAAGGTAATACTACACGTCAGGTACTAATATGCATTTAAGATACTAATATGCAACTTTTCAGGGCTAATTAAGGTAAAAATTAATTTCTTTTAGAAATGGTCCCGCCCCAGAGAGCATTTTTTTCCTTGACGGAAACCAATAACCAACAATGCACCGCGCGATCAATTTCCTTTCAGTATCGGACAATAGCCTAAATGAGTAAGTACTATCTTTTTGTATCACTTACATTATATATTTACGCTTCATAAATACACAAACGTCAGTAGGATATTAGACGGTTGTGTTGAGCGCTAAACGACATTTGTGATGCACGTGACGAACCTCAACTCGACAGATCTTGTAAAACGTGGACCAGAATAATTGACTGAGGCGAACATTGTATTTTGCTTAATGCTTGTTTTTATTGTTCATAGTAATTAGCAGACCTCCACGTTAAAGTAATGACTGCAAAATATTA